AACAAGAAAAATATACAGAAATTGTTCCCCTGCATTATTCTTGGAGTACTACCCAATAAATGCTAACAGTTATTTATGTTGTCACAGCATCTAAGAATTATGAATGAAACTATAATGCAGAGTAGTGAAATATTTTAAATGATGTGAAATGCATGTTTCCCAAGGGCATTTATTTATTCCCGGGTCAGCTTCAAATTAGCAAAGGCTATGTCTTGGCCTGACATGATGGCAAGTGTCTATAATCCAAGCTGTTTAGAAGGGATTTATGGTGGCACGTGACTATACTCCCAGTTTTGAGGAAGGCATAGGTAGAAACATTGTGATCTGAGGCAAGCCCCAGACAAAAAGCGTGATACCCTATCTGAAAAACAACTAAATCAAAATGAGGGCTGGAGGTGTGCCTCAAGTGGTAGAGTGCCTGCTTAGCAGGTGCAGCACCCTGAGATCAAAACCTAGCACTAAAAAACAAAAAAAATCCCTATTATCTCTTAGGCCTTTTATATTCCTAGTGCTGCAAAGTCTACAGCCCCATGACAGAATCATCCATTATTTGGGGTAGAACTTGGGTTGTTACAAATGGTCACAAATGAACTCAGTGCCTCCCCTTTATATTTTTTAAATAATTCTTTGAGGTGAAATTCATATAGCATAAAATCATGAAATTATAATTGATTATAAAATGAACCATTTGAAAATAAACAGCACTATGTTAAATAAGAGTGGAGAGACTGGACACCCTTGTCTTGTTCCTGACTATAGAGGAAATGGTTTTAGTTTTTTCCCATTTGGCATGGTGTTGGCTCTAGGTTTGTCATATATAGCCTTAATAGTGTTGAGGAATATTCCCTCTATTCCTAGTTTCATCACAGCTTTTGTCATGAATGGGTGATGTTGAATTTTGTTAGAGGCTTTTTCTGTATCTATTGAGATGATCAAGTTGTTTTTGTCTTTACTTCTGTTCATATGCTGTATTACATTTAAAGATCTGCATATGTTGAATTCATTCCTGGTTGAAACTGACTTGATCATGTTATCTAATCTTTTTGATATGTTGTTGAATTTGGTTTGCTGGGATTTTATTGAGAATCTTTGCATCTAAGCTCACTAAAGAGACTGACCTATAATTTCCCTTTTTTCTGTTGTGTCCTTGTCCAGTTTAGGGATGAGTGTAACAGTGGCTTCATAGAATGATTTTAGCAGTGTCCCTTCCTTTTCTATTTTATAGAAAAGTTTGAGGAATATTCTTCTTTTAAGGTCTGATAGAATTCAACAGTGAATCTGTCAGGTTCTGTCTTTTCCTTTTTTGGGAGATGATTGTTGCTTCTATTTAGTTAACTTATATGCTTTGACTCAATTTAGTTGGAATATGTGCTTAGAAAATTATCTGTTTCTTCTAGACTTGATAATTTATTTGAATATAAGTTTCCAAAAAGTCCTTAATGATTCCCTGAATTTCCTTAGTGTTTATTGTGATCTCCCCTGTTTCCTTTCTAATTTATTAATTTAGGTCTTTTTTCTCCTTGTTTTATTCAGATTTGCTAGGAGTTTATCAGTATTATTTATCTTTTCAATGAATAAATTTTTTGTTTCATTGATTATTTGTGTTTTCTGTGTTTATTTTGTCGATTTCAGTCCTTATTTTTAGTATTTTTCTCCTTTTGCTAGTCTTGAGTTTAGCTTGTTCTTTTTTTTCTGGGAATTTGAGATGCAGAATTAAGTCATTTTTTGAGATCTTTCTGTGTTTTAATTATATGTATTCATGTCTGTAGATTTTTCCCTTAGAACTGAGTTTTCAGGGTCTCATAGGTTCTGGTAGATTGTACTTTCATTTTCAGTAAATTCCAGAAAGTTTTTGATTTCTTCTGTTATTTCTTTGATGACTCACTGATCATGGAGCATGTGTGAGAACAAATTCCAGCAAGGAAATGCAAACAAAAACATTCAATGTTTCCAAATAAAAAGCATGTTTAACACTAATACCATTTACCATTTATTGTATTTTTCTTTTGTATAAAATATTTACATATATTACAATTGAAACTGGAAGAAGTTCAAGAGGCAAAACACCTGAAGGATTTTCTTAATCCCAAATTACAAATAGAAAGCTTATATTCATTTGAACTTAAATATTTAGACATTAACAATAAACCTGAGTGATATGCAGAATAAGGAGTACATGAACAATGGCAGAATGTACTTTTGGGAATCTCTGAACTTGAGCATTATTTCATTAGTTTCTTCTCACTGCTGTAACAATACTTCTTAGTTTGATGGTCTGATATGCACAGGATTACTCTCAAAAAATTTTATCTTATTTTTTCTCTCTTATAATTTTAGAGACAGACTCACTGGCTGATAACGCTTGACAAAAAGATGTTTAAACAAAATACTTATCCTATAGAGACTCAAATATACCATTGTTTTAGAGACCATAAAAAAGACTGACTGAGTGTCCTGATTGTCCCAGGTGAGAAAGACATGTACCATCTCAGTGACATAAGACAATGATGGAATATATGAAGAACAGGAGGGATCAATAGACCAGACAATTCTGCTAAGCTGAGGAAAAATGTCAGATGAACTAAAATTAGACCACAAATACACACACTCAAATTTCACTTCTATTTTTAAAATCAGCTCACCAGTGAAACACAGATTATCTTGCCTCAAACAAGGTTTGCCTTTTCCAAAGTAGGAAAATCTAAATATTTAATTTTAAAACTCAAATAGGCATTAGAATTACATGTTATCTGATAAAAGCGCAGGCTTCAAAAATACAGACTTACATACACTGCAAAAGGCTGACTCGTCAGCCATGCTTGAAGCAACAGGGTCCCAAGATGTGGCCTGTGACTAAGCAGGAAATTCAGCTTCAATGAATTGTTTAAGATTTTGAAATCAGAAAATGTGAGAGAAGAGTTGGAAGAAGTCACATTCAAGAGATGAATATTATCTTATGTTTCTTATTTCTCTCTCTTACTGTGTGTGTGTGTGTGTGTGTGTGTGTGTGTGTGTGTAATTTAACTTGTCCCTAAGAAGGAAAAGATTAAATACCCCTTGGCAAGAATCCCATGTTGAAGTATTAGCCCTGCCTCTCGCCTGCTGCATAAGCTTGACGTGCAATAAAAGTGCATTGCCCTGGGTTCAGTTTTGAAGTGTGCCTCCCCAGCCCCCTTGTTCTCACCAAAGCCAGTTCCCCACTGGAAGACAAGGAAGTGAAGAAAAATTCTCTCGCTCGTGTAGTCATTCCCAGCAATCTGCTATTCTGCAAAATAAGCTCTTGCAGTGCCTGTTACCCCCAAAATATACACCTTGAGCCATATTGCTTCTGGACAGAAAAGAACTGCCCTTCAAATGAAGTAAAGGCTGAATAATATCTGATGTATAAATGATTCTCAGTAAATATTTGTTGAAATGAAATGGGCAGGTGTGGTAACCTGTCTCCAAAGCTGTTTCCTTTATACTCAGTAATGTTTGGTCTAAAGAGACTTTTCGTTCTTACATAATTATGAAACAAAATCCAGTCAAGTATGGGCTAATCTAAAGAATGAGATGACATGCCAAGTGTGCTATAAAGTCTTGTGCTTCCACTTCCAGGACATCAAGTAAACTAGTGTTTGAATCCACAAACAACTGTGTAGATAGAAGCAGAAGAAGGCAACAAAACCACTGTTTCTGTTCCTCATGTTACCTAACAGCTCCTAGGCAATTGTGCATTTTACTCAAAACACATTTATGAAAAAGAAACAAATGGCTTTTCCTAAAAGAAAGGAATTGAGAGAGAGAAAGAATGTCAAATAGAACACAGGAGTTTCTATCTGCATCTCTTTTTAGAAGTCAGACTGGTCTGAAATGAGACTTTTGGCCTTTTTCTCCTTAGCTCTGTGATGGTAAGCAAGCTGCTTATCATCTCACTGTCTATAAAATGGGAATATGATGTTAGGGTAGAAAGAGAAACAGAGGATCCAACACCAGATTCTTAGTTTCCCCATCCAAGTCCCATATTCAGTGAGCTGACAATTTCATTAGAAAGAAATTGTTACTGTTAATCAGAGCATCCAAAGAATTTTATGTTGCTCCCTTTGTAGCTTTTCCTTGAGGTTCAACACAATAAAGCATTGTACTTAAAATGGGAGTTGTACAGTTTCAAATTGTCTTTTATGAATGTTCTCAGCTTAAAAAATTAAGAATATAAATTATTTGGGAGTGCTCTTTTAATTCTTTCTTTGTACAATTGTCTATAACGACTGATAAATATAGCCACCTTCAAAAACCGGAGGTTGCTTTCATTTTAGATGAGTTTTCACAGATGACATTGCCATATAGTGTGCTGTGGTAGCCATGTATGGCAGTGTCTTCTGAGTTCCCTCAAAGTCTTGCTGACTTTTCTTTTTGCACATAGAAAATAGAGATTAGGGCTCCTGAAATCATACTAGGTCTACTTAGCCAGCACTGAAGATACACCTGATTGAATTTTTTAAAGCTAATTTAGGGAGGATATAAATAGATGGCCCTTCTTTCCTCAGCAGCAATGAGATTGATTGATTTACTAGCTCCTACTGAGGACAAATGCCCTCTTAGATACTTTTCAGCTCTCAAAATCTGATTCCAAATTTGTCAGAGAACCGAAAGTTACATAGTAGCATAAAAAGCATTTAAAGTAAAAAACAGAGCACCTCCCCCAAAACCAAAACAAAAAATGTATCTTTACTGGCCAGAACAGCTACTAAGCATATCCTTATCACAGGTTTCTGCTTTGTAAATTAATTCAGCTGTAAATAGCGCACTGTCTCCAGATGCAACTTTCAGTCCTGGCGAGCTGGATTCTTAAGGATCTAAGTTTAAAGGCAAAGGCTGACTTGACAAATAAATAGTGTCATTTATGTTCTGTTCCAAGTCTGCTCATCCAGTCATATCCCAATATGCAAATAAACCCTAGCCCTGTGCAGATAAAAAGGAAAAAGTAAAGCCAAGTGCCCTATCAGAACCAATTTGCTGAGCCTTTCACCTGTGTTTCAGGAACCATATCGGAAATGCAGTTCTCTGGAAAGCCAGACTTACCTACCCCACTCACCAATTTGAAGATTCAGTATACTAAGGTTAGTATAATTTTTATGTGCTGCTTTGCCTTAGGTTTGTGAAGAGTATATCTATTTAAAGCTTAAAATGTCAATTTAAATAAAATGTAAAGAGCCCCCTGTATATACAAAAATAAAAGGTTTGTAAAATGCAGGTCTGGGTTTAGTGTCTTGAACAAATAATGTATTCTAAATCATATCAGACAACTTTTCATGAATTTATGTACTGAAATATCTCCAAGTAAAAGAAGTTCTGTTTTGTGAGAAAGGTTCACATGGCAGAAATCAGTGGACTTTGGTAAGCAGTTTTATTAACTTCAGTACACCCAGCCTATGTGAAAACTGAGGCAAATACTCTAGAATGGGTCAAACAAGTGAGAATTTTTTAAAAGAAAAAACAACACAATGAAATAATATTTTCCTGTATTTTAAATAAAATGAGTGTTAACATCAGATGACTTAAATGTGATAATGGTTTGAAGGCCGTTTCATAAAATTTCGATTGGACTTGTATTATTTTGCATATTTTGGGAAAGAAACAATGCATATTTTTTTCTCCAGCCAATTTGTTGCTTTTGGAGCAGATGTGTAATTGTTAACTGATAAATATTTAGAACAACAAGAGAAAGAGCCAAACCCAGACTTCAAAATCTGTAGTGAGGGAGAATTAGGAAATGGATTCTATTGCTGTTGTTCTGAGAGTTTCTCTCAACTTGACCTATTGCATAGTTAAGTCTCTTTCCTTACACATCTCAGGACTCCTAAATGAAAAATAAAACAGAAAGAAACAATCTAACCCACATCTTTTTCTCTCAAACTGGACCAGCACTGCAGTTTTTTGAACTCTTTAACATACAGAGAATGATGCTGTTTTTGTATGAATAATTGTATTGGTGTGAAGAGGCAAATGAGAAGGCTTGTCCTTATCCATTTTATACCAAATCACAAATATCATAGTGTACTCATGTGCAAAATGTGTAATCCTTGTAGCCAACACTGGGAATTTTTAATCACAAAGTATTTGCATTTAGCATACCAATGAATTTAAACATTATGGAATGGTGTTTAATACATTGTCCCTCGGGGTTCAGCTATTAATAAATCATCCTTTAATATCACGTAAGGACAAGTATCTGAATGAAAATACATTTTAAAACTCAGTCTATAAATCACCCTTCTTTGAAATCTCTCTATATTGGCCAAGTGTGGTGTCTCATGCCTATAATTCTAGCTTCTTGGGAGACAGAGATCAGGGGGACTATAGTTTGAGGCCAGCCCCCACAAAAAGTTAGTGAAACCCCCCATCTCAACAAATAGCTGGGAATGGTGGCATGTGCCTATCATCCCAGTTATGTAGGAAGCATAAAGAAGAAGAATGTGGTGCTCGCTTCGGCAGCACATGTACTAAAATTGGAATGATACAGAGAAGATTAGCATGACCCCTGCACAAGGATGACACACAAATTTGTGAAGCGTTCCATATTTAAAAAAAAAAAAAAAAGAAGAAGAAGAAGATGAATGTGGTACAGGCCAGCCTAGGCAAACCAGAAGAATCTATCCCAGAAATAACTAAAGCAGACTAGACTTGGTGTATGGCACAAATGGTAAAGTGCCTACTTAGCAGACACAGGCCTTGAGTTCTCTGAATAGCAAAACAAACAAAATCAAACAACAAAACAAACAAAAACTGTATGCATCAGCTACCCATAATAAAATATTAAATAAATAATTTCATTATTATCATATGCTTAATAATAATGTACAACAAATAAAGGGATAAAAAGAAAAGAAATCCTGCATTTCAGCAAAACAGATCATATGTTTTTTTAATCACAAAAAGGGTATTTTTTAAATAAAAACAAGAAACAAATTAACATTTATAAAGCCATTTGTTTTTTTAAAAAAAGTAAAAGAAATCAAATTTCATCCACATATTCAATTGGTGTTTATACATGTGTTATTTAAAATGGGTTTTTATTAATTTGATTCCACCAAAAATTTTTATCTTGTAAAAGGAAATGCGTTTCTAACATTTATTTCTTAATGAACTGCAAATTTAAGACTGTAAAACTTGGATCTCAGACATGTTAAATGACACATCAGGCTGTTTTCATATTTCTGCTCCTTTCCAGTGTGTGCAGAACAACAGTTTCTGGACCCCTCTTTTTTTTCACTAAGAAAGGCTCACTAGGAAATCTAGTACCTGATCTCATCTGAAGATAGATAATGAGATACTCTTTCCAAAAGAAAAATGGAATTCCAATGACTTTAAAACGTCAGTGACAAAACATAACAAGAGGCAGTTTTTCTAAGTAAGCTTCATTTAAATCCCACTGTAAAGCCAGCTTTAAAACAGTAAAATAAAGCATCAGAAAGGTGATCAATTGTGGTACCTGATCACCTGTAGCCTCAAATGATCTAAAGATCAGTACAGGAAAGTGTGAGCAATGACTTAAAAAGAACCAACCCAACAAAACGTCTGCTTTTACCCCAAATTCACAGCTATTTCAAGAAGAAAACAGTTTTAGCAACAGGTGACATTTTCTTAGTGTTGAAATGACTGGATACCTTCATGAAACTTAAACACACTACTCTTTTTAGTGTGTTGTGCACTCATGCTTATGTGTATTGGTGTATGTTTATATATAAAATGTCAGAAACAATGAAAGTATTTCGAGAGTATGTGGATACACATTTAGGTATGTTGCGTAATTCTTCATGTAAGTTTCCAGAAATTTCTAAAATTTGCTGCATAGTTAAATGTTTTTATTGTCTACCTTCTCTGCATTCCTACAGATCTTCATAAACAATGAATGGCATAATTCAGTGAGTGGCAAGAAGTTCCCTGTCCTCAATCCTGCAACTGAGGAGGAAATCTGCCAGGTAGAAGAAGGGGATAAGGTGAGTTTCTAAATGCTGCTTCCCTGTCATGCCAGGTTTTCTTCCATGTCACCATTCTGAGCTCCCAATCTCCACTGCAAATTCATGAAGACATGTCATGAAAATGTGGCCCTCAGGCAGGCTGGGGAAAGTTTATAAGTTATCCTTGGTCATGGAAACTAAATAGTCATGTAATGACAATGAGCTTCTGCTCTGTGCGATGTAGTTATTGTTTCATGGTATTTTCCTTGATTGTTTTACAATTGGAAAAGTGTTTAGCTTTATTATACAAAAGACTGCATAGAAAGGAATTGACCACAGAGTTAAAAAGAAGATAAATTCTTTACTCATATAAAATTCCCTCTTTATGTAGCTAGAGTAAATTAAATGATAATATAAGAATTTAAAAACAATGTAATACCAAGTTATTTCACTAAAAATTATTGAATTAACTTTAACCAATACTTTTATGACTTATTTTTAAAGTGACTAAAATTGAATAGCAAATTAAAAGTTGATATATTTTAGGTAGTAATAACAAAAATGAAAACCAAATTTATATGGTGATCATTTTTAACTACTAAATCCTGTTTTAATTTAATACCTAAGGCAAATGTATGAAGGTGATACTATATTTAATTATATGTACAGATGTTAATAAAAATGGAAGAACAGAAGGTTTAGTAATTTACTCAAATTGACATTGCAAATAAATCATGAAATCAGCATTTAAGCGTCATTCTCCTAACCCCAGGCAGAGTCTAAGACTGACAGGGTTTTCCTTCACCTCGTGATTAATGTAAAAGTAAGACAGGGTGATGTTAAACAGCATGAGGGGTGAGGAGAGCAAAAGGCTTCAGAATTTTGATCTGAACTATATGTAAAAACTTGTTTGTGTTTCTAAGTTTAATTTGAAGTAATTTTTCTGCTCTTTACCTGCCAAGAGATCACTAATCTTTAAATCTGTGTATTATAAAATATGAAGACAAAAATTTGCTACATGAAAAAACTATGATGAAATCAGCAAAATTCAGAGATGATACCATTCATGACACAATATTTCAGTTAATTGTGGCAATCACACTTTCCTGTCCAGGTTCCATTCCTTCATTACCTCAGCCTCAGTCCATGAGACCACAAATCTCAAGGTACTGACTAAGTCATATGGGCCTATTCCAAAATAGCAACAGACCTGGGGAACTTTCTGGATTTTCAGGAGGTTCTGAATTCAGATTGTAGTATCACCAGAACCAAGTGAGACCCAGGAATGGAAGGGCAGGAGTATAGAGTTTAAGTGCAGGCGTCAACAATTTGAGAAGTAGAAACAGAATCAAATTAACAGACATCATTGGCTTTCAGATTTCACTTTCTGTGTATGTTAAAGAGTTCAACTATTCATAAATTCTTCATTGCCAATGTCTTGAAGAACTTCCTTATGTTTTCTTCCAGTCATTTCAGGTGTTTTTTGGGGCATCATTGGTCCATCTGGTTGATTTTTGTATGTAGCAAAGCGTAGGGTTATAGATTTTTTTCTTCTGCATATGGATACCCAGTTTTGTCAACATCATTTGTTGAACAGGCTCCCTTTTCTCCAGTGTATGACTTTGATCCCTTTGTGGAAAATCAGTTGATTGTAGATGTGTAAATAAGGGCATGGATTTTGACAGGTAGATAGTTTATGATTGGAATCTGCTATAACAATCACTTTATAACTTCATGAATTGCTAGAAGTCCAAACTTGGGCAGAGAAATACAAATTGTCACTAGCAAAGTGCTATAGGTACCCAGAAGCCTATGTTCTAAGGGGCATTTCCAGAAATAAGAGAAAAACATATTCTTACACTAAAAAATAATCATTAATACCTTTTATCAGACCTTTCTAGAGACTCACACATTATTTTACCTCAAACACACCTCTACTTACTTGAGTGACTTTAGCAAGGCTGAGGAGTTGAAATTTAAAAACACAGTTGTGTCAGCACAAACACACACACTGTGTTGTCTAGGTGTGAAGGGCTGGGTTAGAGAGAGCAGAAAAATTGTGAACATAAAGTTAGAGCAGGTGAGGTGGGCCCAAGTACATGAGTTTGTCCCTGGGAGAGTCCATAAAAGGGAGCAGTTGTAGACATTAAAAGGGAAACTGAGAAGATCAAACTATATGAGGAAGATTAGCTTGTTAGCACTAAGCAAGACAATTGCAAGGAAGGAGCATGCACTTGGTAGGCTGTTAGCAATATGAAATAATAAGGACCTATAGTAGTAGAAGGCAGTGCAAATGGAAAAGAAATGTAAAAATGTAGAATTGCTGAGAGTTACTGTAATGTTGTTTAATCTTGTAGGATATCAACAGTTGTCTCATCTAATGAACACTTAACTGATGTCTTTCATATTGAAATTGTATGTCAAGGGTTATTGCATTTAGTCTTTAACACATCTCTATAAGACAGCTTACCCTGATTTTACATAAAACCTGAACCTTAAAGAAATTGTGGAAGAGCAGAACATATTCCATTTTAGAACACATAGACACTCTGTACCCATAAATTCTTCATCTGTGTATTTAACCAACAAGGGATAAAAAAGTTAAGCTGTTGCCGACATGGACTATGTAATTAGGACTACCATGGTTTTGTCTATACTGAATGTCTATAGATAGTTTTTCTTATTATTCTCTAAACAATGCATTATAGCAACTCTTTACCTAACATTTACATACCACTAGGAATGTAACTAATCTAGAGGTTATTCAAAGCTACAGTTGTACATATATAAATACTGTGTCAACTTATATAAAAGATTTGCACATTCATAAGATTAGGCTTCCTATAAGTGCACCCCAAAGCCAGTTCCACCTAGATACTGAGGGCTGACTATGCTTTTCAGTTTATAATACAGTGGGGTGATGATTTGTTGTATGCTCCATCCATTTAATTGAATACTTCACTAATCTATCACTAGTTGATTGATGATAAGAGAATACTACACAGTGGAATGTGTATGGAATCTTTAGATAAATAAATGGGTGGTTGGATGCTTCTAAATTTACATAACTAATAAAGAGAAATAAGAATTTATATCCAAAATATTTTGTTCTGAAACTATACAGTAGCTGTCATTACCCTATTACTGCTTCTGCAATATTAGAACATTAGATGTGTGTGGGAAAAGGGGAAGATCCAAAAGACCTAACAAAAAGAATGTATTTATTTAGAGCATCGTTATCTAGAGATGTGTTTTTCATATGCAAGAATTACTTGTCTTCAAGCCTGTTTTACCACTTCCTTTTCAAAGGCAAAGATGTCTGAGATAGCTTATATTTGACTAAGGCTAATGATAGAACATTGGGAAGAAGGATCCAAATGAAAGCTGTTTCATGCAAGTCTGTTTATACAAAAAGCTCCATTTATTTTATAAGCCATGGTATCCAAAGACCCTGCAGGTAATCTCGGATTGGCTTTATCTCAAAAAGTGCTCTCTGAATTAAATTTGGAAAAGGTTACAACTTGTGGGATAAAAAAGTGTCCAAATATAAGCAACGCACATGATTAACTGAATGTCTAAAATGGGTACTGTCTATGCATTTCTCAAGAAAGCAAGAAATAAATGCACACACACACACACACACACACACACACACATCATCCTCCCAGAAGTTTGACACTAAGATAAACCACTATATGAAGTACTATAGTGAATGAATCTTGCTTGTAATCAGTAAAATATCACTAGATCAGATCATACCTCTAAAAAACCCTTCTTTCACCAGTTCCTAACAGTTTGATGATAAATACAGATAGTCCCTGATTTACGTAAGTATAAGATGCAGCAGCAATACACATTCAGTAGATACTTTACTTTGAATTTCTATCTTTTCCCAGGCTAGCATATGTAATATGATATTCTCTTTCATTGTTGGGCAAGGCTCCCAACAATACATATAATCACAAAGGTAAACAATCAATTCTGTAACCCATAGTGCACTCACTGTTCAATAAATTAAACAGGATAGTTAATCAACACTTCATTACAAAATATGTTTTCAGTATTCTGAGCACATGTATGACAAGCTAAGCTAAATTATGATGTTTGGTGAGTCAGAAGTGCATTTCAACTTAGAATATTTCTAACTTTTTATGGGTTTAACAGGATATAATTCTACTATAACTCAAGGAATATCTGAACTATAAAAACTGTTTATTTATTAGCATTTTAATGTGCTGACTTGTAAGTTTGGATCTTGTTAATTGAGTAGACTCTAGAGAAGAACATCAATTTGAAGAGGTATCACCCTTGGATGGGTTTCAGCTTAATTTTAAGCAACTTCAAAAACTGAGGTTAGTTTACTTCCTTCTACCCTAATTGTCAAAGGGAATTCTACATCCCATGAAAGGACTTTCAACTTACTGTCCTGTGATGTCATCATGATTTTTGGAATTCTGTGCTATAGTCAATCACATTTATAAAATATAGATATTGTAATGACATATGCCTTTGATATATTTGCAGTTAACTTGATGAGAAAAATAAAACCACATGAAATAGTAATGAAAGAAGTGGTGACACTTGTAGTAGGTATATTCTGTAGGAAATGAGAGGAGATCTGAACAGAGATCTATAGGGGAATGGAATTGCAAGACAGAGTTTGGAAACCAGGCGGATTAGGAAGAAACTAAAGACTATGCCTAATTTAGAAAACCACAAAGAGAAGAAAGAGCATGGGTGAAGACAAGGAGGTGAGACTTACTAATGTGAGTGCAAACTTATTCTATTTTTGCACCTTTGCTTGACTCAATGGAGCTTTAAGCAGTGCATTACTAATAAAAAGAAAATGACTCTTTTACCTAATTAAGGAGTGAATAGGATTTTTTACCCAGCTGAGAAAAGGGGGTGCATTACATTCAGACCTTTCCATAGACCAGTTCCATCTACTCCCTCTATTCTTTTTTTCCTCTACACAAAAGGAATTTGTGTACACATTTGTACAGCAAAGAAAAGTTCTTCAGTCTTCAGTAAAATCCTCATGAAAGTGGACAGTTTATAGAGTCTCCAAAGACCACAGAAGATACTTGCTATTTGTGATCTTGAACTGTGCACAACTACTGCAATTCAATTACCAAAGGAGTTTAATGTGTGAGGAAGAGCAAGGGTCTACAGTCAGACCAGATCTATTTGAATCTTAGTTCAGCAGTACTTATGTCATTAACCTTGAACCAATCTCCTCATTTTCTTTATTCAGTTTATCTATCTGTAAAATGGGCAACATGTTTGTTCCAGAAAATTATTGAGAACTAAGTGACTACTATGAGTAAAGTTATTAGAATATTACTTGAAATAAGATTAAAACTCAAAATATCCTATTGAAATAGAATATAATAGCAATGATTACTACATGATAAAATTTATTTTCTAGGAAATCAAATATTTGAGAATGTATTGAGCTTATCTAAAGATTACTCAAGAGTCATTCCAACATACTGTACCGAAGTATGGAATGTGCTAGACTTTGGGCTAATTGAGTCTGTTTATGAAGAACCCTGGTCTTCTTTATAGAGTTATTGCCATTGGAGTTGCTAATCCAACTGGCTGAGACTACTGAATTGAATTCTTTGTAATTTACAGGCAGATGTTGACAAGGCAGTGAAGGCTGCAAGACAGGCTTTCCAGATTGGTTCTCCATGGCGTACTATGGATGCTTCGGAGAGGGGACGCCTGCTCTTCAAGCTGGCTAAATTAATTGAAAGAGATCGTCTGCTCCTAGCAGTGAGTATTATCAATTTTGTTTTTGGTGAGCACAGTAGACATAGAATTGCCTTCTTTTGGTCTAGGTAAAATATTATGTGAATCTGCTAGAATGATGTACCAGGTTTCCCAAATTTATTGGGAAATCTCTTCAGTTTTGTTATAAGTGCTCAAAATATTTCTCTAAAATAAATTTTATTTTCCCTAACCTAACTCAGAAAAATATTTAATAAACAGCTACTCTTTCTGTTTTGGAAATGTTAATGTTCATAATTAAATGATCTGGTTTTTCATCATCACAGATGGAAATGACAAAGAATAAAGAGATAAAATCTAATTGTTATTGGATTTATAAAATGTACGTTTATATCTTTGCTGGTTATACTGTTTTAAAATTTTTGGCAGTTATCAGTTACACAGAGTCAGCACATAACATGGGTAGAGGAGGGCTTTGTCCAGACTCATCAGCCAGGCAATACAATAATACCACTTTAACACAAACTAATACCCTGATTGGATTTCAGAGTAAATTTTTGTTATCATTAGAATCTTAGAGTGGAAGTATCAAGGAGCCTTTCATTTCATTTTGAAAAATTAGCAATTATAGTTAAAGGATAATTTATTACTCAAAGACAAAAATATAAAATCAGAGGTTGTGTATAAGAAAACTGTACTAACCAAAATGTCCTATAGGAAGACAGAAGACTTCATTAAAACTTAGCTTCTCTCACATCTCTGATTTGTAGAATGTATGGTGTTGACAGCCAATGACAACAGGCTTCCCTCCATCCATTCTATGTGTGGGGGAAAGGGAAAGGAATCACAGTCACACAAAAACCATGTTTGCTTACATTTAGGCATGGTGGACAGTATAATATAGAGACAGAACAGCTTTAGCAGTTAATCACCTGTTCATTCCTACCAGGTTACCACCCAGCAGAACACTAGACCCCAAAGAGTTCTTTAGAGCACTACATCAGAAAAGAGGAAAAGAAGAGAAAGGTCATTGTACAATTGCTGTACAACTAGAACAGAAAATGTTGAAATTTGGAGTTTGACTGTCAAATGATAAGTATTGTAGTAGTGCTCAAACTAGGAGGCTTGTACTTGAAAATACTGCAGAAGAAAATTTGTGGGTGAAAGATTCAGGTGTTAAATTTGTATGAATAGGTTGTGTTCAGGTGGAAAATGAAATTGAAAATAATTTTTGAGGCATGATTGTCACTAACACTACATTATCACCATAGTCAGATTACAAGTGAAATTGTGTCAGAACTCTGAGCTGTCCAAGGAGACTAGGTAGTATTTTACCAGCTAGTTATATATCCAGTTGTCACCAACTCCTAGAACATTGGTGAACTGGAAGATACTCAACTATTCATAGAAAAAACACCAGAGTTTACCCAGCAGTATCTCACTACCCATTCCATTGGGATCTTGCTATGTGACCATAAACAAGTTACTTTCATTTTTTGGATAATTTAAGATTTCTTCTAGTTCTAAAAGTTTCTAGCACATGATTACTGGAAATATTGACTGTATATTTTTAATGTAATATGTTGTAGAATTTTGGATAAGGGGATTGATCTGTTTTTCAGACAATGGAGTCAATTAATGGTGGAAAAATATTTCATTCAACATACCTGATGGAGTTAGGAGGGTGCATAGAAACATTACAGTACTTTGCAGGCTGGGCTGACAAGATCCATGGCTACACCATACCAAGTGGTAAGTAGATTTAGGAAACCAGCAGGATTGGTGTAAGTGTGAGATGATAACAGAGCTGAATGATTTCACACTTTTCCTGTTAAAAATGTCAACCAAATTAGGCAAAATTATTTTCCCCTTGACTTTAAGGCAACCCCATTCTGAACATGGACATTCTGTTAAGGTTCAATAAATGCTTGTTAAAGGTGTTTCTACATAATCCTGCAGAAGACATGAGATATTTTAGAAAATATTACAGTAAGAGCATTCTTATAGCTGCAATTACTAATTTGAAGGTATTGTCTCTCAAAGTGATCAAACATTAAAAAGCTGGCCTCTGAAATTATTTATTTGAGTTTCTTTTTCATAGTGACATTTATATCCTTTCTATAATGCAATTATTTTTCTGTTTGCATATTCCAGTATGAGTCTGTCATGCTCATCCATGCCTGTTCAAACTCAGTATAGACCAGACTAATTAAGCTAATTCATATTGATTCATTTCAAATAGCTCCATAGCAAGATGAGACTCCAATTACATCTTAAGTTAAGAATTTCTTTATGAGCCAGGAGCCACTGGCTCATACCTGTAATCCTAGCTACTCAGAGGCAGAGAACAGGAGGATTGCATTTCAAAGCCAGCCTAGGGAAATACCTCATGAGACCCTGCCTTGGAAAAAACCATTCAGAAAAAAAGGCTGGTGCAGTGGTTCAACGTGTAAACCTTGAGTTCTTTATACAGTACCACACAAAAAATTATCTCTATAAAAATGTTTATGTATGCATTATTTAGTGTAATGTGCACATAACAGAATCAACACATGAAATAACATTAATTTGGGAAATATTAAGGATAAAATTTAACTCCTATAAATGTGTTGACTTTAACAATATAACTCCAGGACTGCCCTGTTATGCATTTCTGATCTAAGTTAGAAGTGGTAGCCTAGAAGTTCAAAAAAGGAGAATGAGATTGTAGTGGTATCAAGAAGTGTTTGGCGATTTTAGTAGTTCTCTAATTTACCCTCAGAAAACATGGAGAAAACCAAGTAAAGTCCCTATGGTTCTTAAGAAGAAGATTTCTTGATGTGAGAGCCAGAAGGCTTCAGTGAGAACTAGAACAGAGATGAACGCAGAGAATAAAGCTGTCAGGATGACCATGTCAAATACAGACACGTGACTCAGTCAAATCCACATGGGAAAGAAATGTCTGTCACTTCAGGGATTACTTTTCATGGATTAAGAGAGTTTGCTTTTTGTTTGGTAGGCAAAAGAAAAAGAACAAGGCTTACTGTTTGGAGGGAGATTTTATTATTTTTATATTGTATTACCTTTTCTAAAAAGATTATTTTACTGATAGAAATTTGAACACAGCTGAATATGGTTCTTCTCTTAGACAGAGATGAGTATATTCTTTCTCACTGATTTTATATAAAGCTTTGAGAATAAGGATGGTATACAACACAGGCCTCCTAAATGATAAGAAAGTTATCTTTCAGCTATTTCCCAATCTTGCCTTCTTTACTTTCACCTAACTCTATTTTATGGTTTCTGTCCTTCCAACTTACCACTTGAGAGCTTAATGCTTTATTTTGTAAAGGTTAGAGATACGTTCTTTTTTTCTTTTTTAAAATTACTGTTCACATATTCCTCTCCCATTAACTTCAAACCATTCTTCTGTGAATGTCAAATACATTTGGCTTTATTCGATTATGCTGTGCTTTATTTTCTAGATGGAGATGTTTTCACTTATACAAGACGTGAACCTATTGGTGTTTGTGGCCAAATCATTCCTGTAAGTTGTTTTAGTTGGAGAGAGGGAAACCCTAATTCTATTCAATTTGGTCTTAACACTGTCTCTAACAGAAATGGTTGCTTATGTTGGGTCTGGGGGATCAGAAGACAAAGTGAGCCAGTGCTCCCATCCCCCATGAGAGCACTGTGAACCCTACATCTGTAAAGGGACATTCATCTTTATAAGTCATGGCCCCTTGAGGATGCCTCAAAAATGCCACAAGGTCCATAACCAGGAGGCTTTCAAATGACTGTGTATATGTTCCTGCAGATATATGTTAAAAGACCACTCCCCCTGACTCCTGACTCTCCTCCCCCCAAAAAAGTACCAAATTAAAAAAAAAAAAACCTTTGTAAATGACAGAGAGCTACCGATTTTCTGGGCTCCCTGTCCATCTTTAAGGGCAGCTTTTCCTTACTCTCTAATAAATCCTACTTTGTGTGCTGACCTTGTCATCCCACAAGTCAGTTTGCTGCCTCATGAGCCAATTCTTTGGCCTATGAAGGCAAGAACTCTCGACACTGGTCTTCACTTACATATGTGCAGTCTTTTCTTAGTATTGTACTGGGGGTACATAGTGCTTATAATATATCTTAGTTAGAGTCACCCCACCATCATTCTCATTTTTCTCCCCTCACTCTTAGAATTGTTTCAGTAAGTCTCATTGTTTCATTTTCATACATGAGTAGTGGACCCTAACATGTTTATCTTTAACAAGATAATTTGTCCTTGGCTAGGGTAAAGCAAATATACACATAGAAGACATGTACAAGGCCCTGGTCTTAAACCTCAGAGCCACATAAATATTGTCCTAGCTATAAACGCTGCTAATAATATTATTTGGTGAACAAAGTAAATGAACTAGAGGAAAAATGTGAATATTCATACTCTCTGAACATAAAAAGCAATTATGCTTAATCAAAAGCATATTGTGATTTTTTTCCCCTGATAGAATAAGGATTCAAAATTACAGAATTTGATTATATATGAGGCTCTTTTCTGCTCACTTCTCTAATCTAGATTACTCACAACTTGTTATCATTTACTCATTGCTTTTAGCAATGTACTTAAATGGCATGTACTAGACAATTATAGAAAACTGCAAAATTATTATCTCACATCTCCAGTGGAGGGGTTTGTAAGTGCAGAATTTACTTTAGCAGTTACTTGGAGCAACTCAAAGACTCTCTTCTTAAATATTCCCTTCTAGTGGAATTTTCCGCTAGACATGCTCATTTGGAAGATAGCACCTGCTCTTAGCTGTGGAAACACAGTGATTGTCAAACCAGCTGAGCAAACTCCCCTCACTGCTCTTCATGTTGCATCTTTAATAAAAGAGGTAAGTTTCTTAAATCAAAACATGCACACAAATGTAAGAGTCCTAATTTATAACAGGAGATACTCATTTAGTGCTCCTATAAACTGTATTATTTACAAATGGTGTTTCTCCAGTGGTGGGGATGAATGTAGCAGGAGAGTTGGTTGGGGTTTCTGGTAGTCAACCCAAAGGAGTCTCCAACAGACTCAAAGCTTTGGAATCAGTCACCTTGTGACCAATTATTTCTTTTGTTCAACTCTCATGGCCATATACTCATGGTGAAATGAAGAATTATTCTTTCAGCTACTTGAGGGCCTGCTGGCTTCTGTAAATACATTTAACTTAAAGGAATTTTTATTCTATCCGAAGGTAGAGGCTATTGAGTTCTGTTGTAACTGCTTTGCTTTTTAACCTTTTAGGCAGGGTTTCCTCCTGGCGTGGTGAACATCGTCCCTGGTTATGGGCCAACTGCAGGGGCAGCCATCTCTTCTCACATGGACATCGACAAAGTGGCCTTCACGGGATCAACAGAGGTAATGTCATTGACTCAGTTAAGAAGGCTGACATCTCTAATCATCAGAAGCATGTCCTATGTAACTGTTTTTAAGTTGACATGGCCTTAAAATTCTTTTCCATATTTAGTTCCTTTTTCTGGCCTTCAAGTATGTTCATATAGCATACGCAATTGTGGTTTCGATGAAATGAAATACTTCTTACAAAGTCAGAAGGAATAGAGTGAGCTGTTTTTAGCATTTTCATTGCTTTCTGTCACATGAATTATATCTGCTAAACCCATGTCATCTGATTGGTAAAGTTTATGATGGAAAATATAAATTAGGCCACAGTGATTTATATGAATGAATTCAATTATATCTTGAATATTAAAACAATTAAATAACACAGCCTCATCCTTAGCTCCTTATTTGGGATCTCTTTTCCTTAAGCATCCTGAAATGTAGTCAGAGACTCAGCTTCCCTCAGTGTTACTGATGGCCTTACCTAACCGTTCTCTGTGGTCCAATTTGGCCAGAAATAAAGTTAAAAATCAGGACTCCGACCATGGGCACTGTGAAAGGAAGAAGTGAAATTTAAAGCAAAGACATTCTTAAGTCATTCTGTTAGGTTATGGCATTGTTAGATGTTCAATATAAAAGACAATGCATCCCTCTCATTTGGTATACAGCATAGAGGATGAAGACTGAACATAATTCTCTTTATAAAGCTGGCAATACAAATAAGAAACAAGACAGGATGAAATAAAATACATACAAAGTGCTGCAAAGGGGCTTATGAAAAGGAATGCTAATTTCTGGCTTGTGCTAAAACTTGCTCTGGGTTTTAAGAAATACTTGTGTTTTAACTCCTTGGAGACTCAGAGGTAAAGAAAAATCTAGACAGTGAGTTGAGGGAAAGTTAATTATTTAATAATCCTAGTTAGTCACTCTATTATGTATATATTTTAATTATACAAGAATTGAGATAATGAGACAATGAAAAAGGTTGCATTATGCAAATCTGTAGTTGTGACAGGGAAAAGACAAACCATGTGAGACTGTCCAAAATATAGAACAACTACTATAAAAAATGGTGAAGCCACAGGTCGAAATCACAGCAGAGAAGGTAAAAGAAGGCAAGCATTGATTTTGCAGTCTCACATTCTAAATCTTCCCCAACAGAGACTCCACATACATTTCAGGGTCCAGACTCTATACTCTCTTCTCAAGTTTTCACTATGGGCTGCTGTGCCCTGATTCCAGAGGCAGCATCACTGCATGCTTGTTTTAGCTCACCCCTCAGCCCATAGAGCATTTGGAGGCCCCTTTACTTACCAAAAGATAACCTTGAAAGTAAAGACTAGGAAATATCTAGATCAAATTCTGCCTCCACCTCTCCTAGCAGCATGTCTCTGAAAAGCTAAGTACCCTTACTAATTTTGTGTAAAATAAGGGCAATAATATCTATTTTACTGAGTTGTACGTTATAAAAGCAAATGTGTTAATGAGTAATAAAACATATGTCTCCCTACCTAGCAGAAAATCGCCTGACTATTGTGTGTTCAATACTCATTTCTATTTTCTCTTTTCTCCCCCACTCTTTTCTTTCTCACCCTACTTTAGGAACTAAGAGGGAAAATTTCCCTTTCATTTGATTTTCCTGGATCTTTGCCACTTTGCCCTATTACTTCTGATTATTCCATGAATATTTTTCCCCCATGCATTGCTCCTTTGTGTCAAAAGCTACTCTAAAAATACTCCCCATGTTCCCTCTCTGGCTTGCTCCTTATATCTGGTGTTCTAAGAACCTAATGAATTTAAAATCTTCCCATCTGTTTTCCAGTGTCTGTGATATATGATTATGAAATTGTGTGCCCAATGCCTTATTATCTCTCTCTTGCCTGAGTGTTTTTGAAGGTTGCTAGTTCATTCTTACTTCAGAAGTCAGTACAATAACTACCTCTGAATGAATGCTGAAGAAGTAAATATATACAACATGGTTTTAGAAGTCACACACACAAAAAATAGCCAACTCAAATGCTCTTAAGAAACTATTGTTGGTTCTCTTCCAGCTTCAGGTTTGTGGCTTAGCTTAAACCAGGGACCTTCCAAATGCTATTTTAAGTGGCAAATATTAGATTGCCATCCTTGTGGTCAGTAGAAAAATTCTACCAAGTTAAGAATTTTATGAATCATCAAATTCACTTAAAATAAATCCCCAACAACATTGCATAAATTAGAAAATGTTCTCAAGAATTTTATCTTTCTGCTTCACACAGCAATAACACAATACTATACAACATATTGTTCACCCATAGTTTTAATAATTCATATCTTTGTCTTCATCACAGACCTCTTTGTGAAAAAAAATGATAAAATTTGCAATAATTTTCCAAGTAAGTGGATGAATTCATGGAATAAAAATTAAGGTTTCCTTGTTCTGGTTTTAACTAGATTTGGGTAAGAATTGAGTAAGCTTTTAATTTGCCACCTAAACTTGCACTTGGAAAGAATGTATACTTTGTTTCTCACTCATAATCAGCTCTCACATTTGTTCTTTTAATATCTGTAATATCTACTAAAAACTTCTGGTTTTAGTTAATACGCCAAGACAGAAATTAAATACTTTAGGGGAGTTTCACCAGTAAATCTAAATTTAAAATAAAATATAGACTAAGCTTCCTCCTTCGCAACACTTGCTTTAAGGTTGGCAAAATAATCAAAGAAGCGGCGGGTAAAAGCAATCTGAAGAGAGTCACCCTGGAGCTCGGGGGGAAGAGCCCCTGCATCGTGTTTGCTGATGCTGACTGTGAGTATGACCCCTTTGTTAACTTTTCACCCTTCCTCCATTTTGGTATCTGATAATGCCATGCAGTGAACTTGAAGTTTTACAAACAAGTAAGTTCAAAGTGTAGGGAATTAATAATACTAACATTTGTGCAATGTTTAATAAGTAGTATGTTCTAAAAAAATCTTCAATTAAGATCACAATGGTAACACAGGTCAATTCCATGAACTATTTGTGTTCATAATTACTCTTAAAAGCATTTTAAATTGTCCTGAAGTTATAACACATACATAAACTGAACATGGCTACAACAGTTTGTGGCTTTGGAATAGATTGCTACTTCCTAATCTGAACCCTAGATAATATAAACGTTTTGCATTTCAGAACCATGATGTATATTTAATAATCATTACCTTCAAATTTTAGTATTGTAATAGCATAATAGATTCTGCAGACATGATGGACTGAGACCCACTGTGAGGCAGTAATTTCACATTTGTCATCTCCCTTCATTCTGAGTCTTATGCACATCAGATAGGATGGCTAGAAGAAATTATACCTATTTTAAAATTTATTTTTTCCAATCAAGGATAGCTAAGCTTACATATGTTAATTCTACAATTTTGATGTTATCCCCAGATATGATATTATAGGTTCATTCTGATTATATTATCTAATAGAATCCCCAAATAACTTTCTACATAGGAGTTCATTATCAGAAACAGTCATTAAAACATTTCTCTAAACTTGTAAATAGTTGCATTATCAATATGTGAGGTCATAAACACAAATGGTTCATAGAAGTACCTGTGTTACTGCTGTGACCTTAATGAAAGTTTTACTTAGAACATACTACCTTTGTGAACATTCTACAAAAATGATAAGATTTCTAATTTTCCAAGTCTATCTGTGAACTGCTTCCCCATCTTACACAGTTATGCTGAGATCCCACGTTCATACAGAACTGCTTTAGTGTTGAATAGAATCTTCAGCAATTAGAAAAACAAAATGCAAATAAAACATTTTTCTTTTTCTTGAGATCAACAAGATACTAATGGAGCAAGTCAGGTACACTGTGCCACCTATTTAAATAGAAAAGATTTTATAAGCATATATGAAATAATATTACATATGCTTTATGTATATTTGGAAATATCTGTCCTAGAAAAAGATCATAAGATTGGCAAGTGATTCTAAAGAGTAGTGGGGCTTAGTTAGGTTTTCATGTTAATTTTTTCAGAAGTGTCACTCTTCCTGTTGATGAAAATATTTAAGAAAGTTTTAAAATTAAAATTACTTAAGGAAATGGACAGTGCAGATGTTTTTGTTATCTACCTAAAACCTGAGGCTTGAAAGAAACATTCATGATACACAAAAAAGTTGATATGTATCTAGTTTATCAATGTGTTATAAGTATATGGAGTCAATTCACAGTAAAGGAATATAAGGACCTCTTTAACTATAAATGGTGATGCTTATAAAAATTACTTGAAGTGATATTTGATCTTATGATGAAATTCATATTCTTGGTAATATCCATATTAAAGTTGTAATAGTAATCATATTTTATATGATAGTAATTGTTATTATTTCCATAGTAAATACAGGATTTTAAAAATTAATTTGTCATCTGGCATTTAGAGGCTGAACTCTGGTTAGCTCATGTCTAATTATACAATTCATCATTTTTCTATATCATCATACTGCCTCTGAGAAACACATATGAAAATATAAAGTATTTCTTCTTTAGAGCTGTGAATATGCCTGGTAGAATACCAGCCTAGCAAGCACAAGGTCCTGAGTTCAAACCCCAATACTGACAAAAAAAGAAAGCTCTTTTTTTTATTCATGTGTGTTTACATTGTTTGGGCCATTTCTCCCCCCTACCCCTCCCTCCCCGCCTCACTTCCAGGTAGAATCTGTTCTGCCTTTATCACTAATTTTATTGAAGAGAAGACAGAAGCATAATAAGAAAGACAAAGCATTTTTGCTAGTTGAGACAAGGATAGCTATACAGAGAGATTCCTAGCATTGCTTCCATGTACAAATGTGTTACATCCCAAGGTGATTCATCTCTAACTGATAAGAAATCTCTCTTCTTTAATGTTAATGCTTTCTTTGCAGTGGAGCAGGCCGTTGAATTTGCACACCAAGGGGTATTCTTCCATCAGGGCCAAATGTGTATAGCTGCATCCAGGCTTTTTGTGGAGGAATCAATTTATGATGAGTTTGTGAGAAGGAGTGTTGAGCGGGCTAAGCAGTATATTCTTGGAAATCCTCTGACTCCAGGAATAACTCAAGGCCCTCAGGTAAGTGAGCAACAGAAAGAATGCCATTTCAAATTTCTTTTCCAGACCTAATTTTGATTAAGATTTACCTCTTATCTGCACATCTTTACCAATTTAATGATTAAAACATCTAATTCCCCATGTTAAAGAAATCATTCTGTTCTTAGGTTGTACATTTTTCATGTACAGAAAGAGTTTAGAAGCCAGGCTGGTAAGTGAAGGTGAGAAGAAAATTGACAAGCACTATCAGTTCCAAGTATGCAATGAGAAAACCTTAGGACTTATGCAACTGCAAATATTGAAACCTAGAAGTCCTAACACAACTGGCTAGTAAAGTCATAACTTGTTTTCATTTAATCTCATTATATTTTGGATTTGTCTTTGAGTTTAATGAATATGAAGGTGAATTGCCAATTTTTATCATATTTGGTAACATCAAATGAGTGCAAGAGGTATATTTGATTCCAATATAAACTGATCTCACAGTACAAAAATGAATATAATTCTAACTTTTTTTATTTTCTATCTAAATGTCTGTTTATGTCTACAAACCTAAAGTGCTTTTCTCATTATATACATACATATATACACACTTAGGAAAAGAAAAGAGGAGAATATCTAAGATATTGAATATTGAACTGTGGTTGGCCAATGTTTTCATCCATTATGGAGTCTGCAATTCAATCACAGTCTCAAAAACTTTGAACTGAACTACATCATTGTTTCTCAGAGGAGGGAGTTAAGATAGATTTTTAAAGATATATCCATTCATTGAATTGAATTGTAAAGTAAGAAACCCACTGGTCTGACTGATTAATGTAAGACTTTAATCTTTATAAGTAATTTTGTTTTTATCACAAGTTACATTGAATTCACAGGATAAGTAGGTGTTTTAGAGTTTTGAGAACAAGAGACTGAGAAGAACTCAGGACTTCTCTACTTTCATAGTTTTTCATCTGTTGTTATCTGCTGTCATAAAAGAGAGTTTATGAAAAAAAGACACTCACTAAGCTTTAGCCTAGTGTGTCCACCATTGTTGGTTAAGTAAAACACATATAAAATATATCTATAGAATCTTCTTCATTAATATTATAACAAAAGAGTAATATAGAGAAAATAAAGGCCAAAATAGTTGTTCAGGAAAAATAATTTTAAAGGAAGTTTATTTTTCTTATTTGAAAGATTACAAACTTTAAGTTTGTAAAACAGTTGCATTATTGTGTATTATTTATATTTGTTTTATATATGTATATTCATATGTATATTTTTCTTCATCTTAAAAGTGATTTTACTATTTGAATTCATAGACAAAACTATGTAACTTCTTTTAAACCTGGAAAATCAGAATTATCATTTGAAAAAAGAAGAGAGTATATCTACATAAAACATATTAACATCAACAGAGTAGGATCTTGTCATGGTATAGAGAGATAGTTTTTGAATTATAGATTTTATTTAAAAGAAAACTTTCCTGAGACTGCATTTCACCACCTGTAAAAATGTGGTCATAGAGCAGTGAAATAATACAAGCTATATAATGCATACATCAGAATACTGGCTTACTGTGTAAACCCAAATATCTATGAAGTAAGTGAAAATTTCATGCCTCTAAACCTTGGTGACAATAGTATAGATGAATAACTTTATATATTTGTTCTCATGACTCTGTTTGATCTATGTTTTACAACTAATTTGAGGGTAGTCTCTGTCTTTTTTCAATTTAACTTCCTTTTCAATCCATCAAACCTAAGGAATCAAAAATTCTCCACATTCAAACACATAAAAATATATAGTTTAAGAATATTACAACAATGTAGTGACCTAAAACAATCCAAAGACCAGTGCATGAACCAGTGACTCACTGGTAGTAAAGTACTCCTGCTACTTATAAGCATTATGAAACAGTGCTTGAGTTCTATAAAGAAAGCCAAGTTCATCCTTAGTCTATCTTAAACCTGCTGAATGAGATTTGTATTTACAGTGAATCAAAATTATCCAGGCCAAATTGAGTGCATCCCTCAATGTAGCTGAAATGCTCTGTCACTAGTCTCACGCTCTAGCGTGGTGTTCCTCCATTTTCCCTATGCATTTGAGTCACACTGGGACACAGTGCGTCTACAAGCACATTGTCAGTAGCAAGACATTAAAATAAAAGTCTCTATTTTTAGAAGTCAGTGATTACATAAGTATTCCTACAAATAAATCTTTTCGGTCCCTTTCTTTATTGCACATGTAGGGTTTGGATCCACGTGTGCACTCTGTCAATTTACAGAGAAACAATACGACTTGGGTCACATATCTTTTTTTTTCAGCAGTACTGTGGTTGAACTTAGGGCCTTGCTATGCTAAGCAGATGATCTACCACTCTAGCCACTCCACCACCCCATGGGAAACTTATCTAGAAATAAAAAAAATCCTGATTTTGAGGTCATAGTCTGATTATCATCTTGCACTAGGCAAAGAAGGTTTTCATGGAGTATATGGAACCCATCACTATTTACAAGAATACTTTAACCAGGCAGAATGTATCTAACAGCAACCCTTCAGTCTGATTATATTAATTAATATGTAATAACAAAAATATCTCTCCTTTTAAACCAATACCACAACTTCTATAAGCTGTTAGAAATGATAGGCTTTCATTGTGGAAGGTCCTATTGAGTATTATGCAAAGAAAGGGCTCAAGAAACATGGCACCAATTATTGTGCAAATTTTCTAAAGTAGTTTCTGATTGCACATAGCACTTAATAATTTAATTAGATAAGAGCTGAGTTGTGTGAGGTCAGAAATAACTTTGTGGAAGCTTTTTACTGAGCATTCAAAATGGGGAAATTTGTAGAATTTAAGAAGAAAATAAAGAATTCTATCTTTTTGAGTAGTAAGAAGAGACGAATTAACCTGGCAAGAACCCTAATTATCTTAGTTCCTAGATCTCTTGTTTTACTTCAAGCCACACCTGAGACAGGCAGTCCATACTGATGATATCAAACCAATAGTCAGTCAATCATTCAAACACCCATTATAGGAACTAAGACAATAATGGGGGAGAGGTATGTGTTTCTGATAACTTCCAACCAGGGCTCTGAATGCTTTTTTATTTGCCCTTAAAATAATATTATTTAAAAAATTTAACTTCTATAATACTTGTCATAAACATACATGTGGCCCATTTAATGAAGCAAGGAGATAACCTGGACTGGCCATCTGTGTCGATCAAACCTACTGATCTGGAAGATGCCCCATCCATGGGCATGGACCAGGCCAGAAGGGACTCTGTAAGGATAGGAAGTATAACGTCTTTTTAAAATCCAAACACATCTGATTCCCAATTGCCATGTCTAATTAAACCAGGATCAAACTTCTTTCTTTTTCCTTATATTCACTTTATTTCAGTTAGGACTACAATTTCCCAGCAAATGTGCAAGTTCATTATCAAACTTTTACTACAGGGTGAATAAATGACAGTGTGTTAAAGGTTCAGGTGTTTTTGCCATTATAATATTCGCATCTTACATGACTCTAGATTTATGTTTAATAATATAAATATTGTTGAGGTTTCTTTCCTAAAAGTTTATGTGAAGTGAATGTCCCAAAGAATGAATCTGAACCTCTCTCAGCTGTTTTGTTCAACATTAGATTTAATAACAATATCCTAGCATTTTTAGCCCCTCATTAACAGACTCATGACCTTTGTTAATTGCTAATATTTTTTACTATTCATGTGCTATTTCTTAAATAGATTGACAAGGAACAACATAATAAAATACTGGACCTCATTGAGAGTGGGAAGAAAGAAGGGGCCACACTGGAATGTGGAGGAGGACCCTGGGGGAACAAAGGCTACTTTGTCCAGCCCACGGTCTTCTCCAATGTGACAGATGAGATGCGCATTGCCAAGGAGGAGGTAATGGTGTCATTCTGTTCTGTTCCTTTCGCTGCCATGCGTTGTCTGTGTGCACCAGCTGTGCCTCTGACATTCTCAGCTCTTTGACCATCTTTCTCAGTGGCTGTTCCTCTTCATTTCTGACATTGATAATGGCTTAAGTTACTTGTGACTAAAACTCAATATAGAAAGGAATCCATTGGGCCTGCCAAGCATTTCTTGCCAAAGAGACAGAAGGGGTCTTAACAATCTTTAGGGGATTCCTTCCTTCACAGCCTGGAAGGAATGGAAAAGTATCTTGCCATTTGTGACAACACAGGTAAGCATGAAGAACATTTGGCTACATGAAATATGCCAGGCTCAGATAGGCACATGCTGAACCATCCCAATTATATGTAGAACATGAAACAGATTAACTCACAGGAGCAGAGAATGGGATGGAAGCTACCAGGGCTTTGTAGAGATGAGGACTGGGGCGATGTTGGTTAAAGGACACAAACTTCAGTTAGAAAGAATAAGTTCAAGATATCTACTGTACAGCATGGTGACTATAATTAATAACAAAGGATCATATACTTGAAAATTGCTGATAGTAGACTTTATGCTTTCTAAATACAAATAAATAAACTAATGTCCAAATCCTATGTATTGTGACCATATTTACCCTATGTCCTTTTACTACACATATACTTTTTATATATTTAAAATATGATTCAGCCACAAATCACTCCTCAACTTCCACTGCATTCTTCACCTCCAGTTATCTTCCTAATTTTCTATGTATAAATATAAAAAATGTGTATATACCTACCAAATATTTAAAAACATTGCACACAATTAGGATGTGTGAGACAAAGAGAACATGAAAGGTGAGGAGTGATATAGCAAATAAGAAGTTAAACACAATAGATATAATTACATGTATAATATACAGCATATACACAGAATATATTTGTACTTCATATCCATCATATGACATGATTATTCTTCTTTCATCCTTCCTTCCTTCCTCCTTCCCCCTCCCTCCCTCCCTCCTTACCTCAACCTTCCTTCCTTCTTTCCTTTCTTCTTCTTTCCTTCTTTTCATCTCTCTCTCTTACTTTATATCTTTCTTTTTGGCAGTATTGGATTTGAAATGAAAGCCTTGTACTTGCTACCTTCCTTGGTAGTGCCGTAGCCTCACCCCAGCATTTTTTGCTTTACTTAATTTTTAGTGACAGTCTTACGTTTTTGTGCAGGGCTTGCCTCAGACTGTGATCCTCTTGCCTATGTCTCCCACATAGCTAAGATTATAGACGTGTGCCACCATGCTCAGCTTATTTGTTGAGAATGCAATCTTGCTAATTTTGGGGCAGGCCTGGTCTCAAACCAACATCCTTCTCTAAGTAACTGTGATGACAGGCATGAGCCACCACATCTAGCCCTGAGGTTATTTTTGTCACCTCCCCCTCAAATATCAAATCAAGGAGAAGGGGCACAATCAGATTTTCAAACAGAATAAGTAAATAGGGAAAACAAAATATAGCACGTGCATATCCAACATACTGAGCTTCTCCTCATCAACTCATTCCTCAACGGAATTATAACGTTTGCATGTATTGGAAAATTCTTGACTGGTTTGAGCTGTAGTTCTTGTGCATCTTGATCAATACCAGAGAGAAAGGGTAGAGGAAAACAATCATAATTCAAGTAAACATTTATCGTGTTTCTATAATAAGTGTAGTAATCACAGCTATGTGGGAAGCAAAGATGGGAGAATGAGAGTTCAAGGCCACCCAGGCAATAAAGTTAGTGAAGGGATATTACAAAAAAAAATAATAATAACAAAAACAAGCTGGGGATGGTAGTGAATGTCTATAATCCCAGCTAAGAGGGAGGCAGAGGTAAGAGTATCACAGTCTGAGGGCAGTCCTGGGCAAAAAGCAAGAGAGCCTATCTGAAAACTATTTAAAGCAAAAAGGGCTTGGGTGTGTATTGTCAAGAGATATCTATCTATCATCCATCTATCTATCTACCTATCATCTATGTATATATTTATATATGTATATATAGCAGAATACTATCTTAATGCTTCGAAGTAGGATCCTAGAGCCATGTAATCTGTTCAACTAATGCTATATAAAATATTAACACATTTACTGCAGCAGCAGCTTCTCTACTTCTAGTTCCTGGGTTACAATGTCATGATTACACTTACAATCTTAGGATTTGCACTCAGTCTCTACTGAATGTATAGGGGAGCCCCCACCTTCCCATACCGTGTACATCAATGGGGAACATTAGAAAACCATTTGTCATTTCTGATTTTGCCTACCTCATTCACTTTTCCCATAATACTCTTTTAACACTCATAGAGTTATCTCTTCTATTAGTTTTTATAAATGTTTTATAGATATACAGAAGTTTGCATTTTAAGAGAAAATCTGCCTATCTGGGGTAAAACACAATAGAGTTTGGGCTGTGATAACTAGAGACTACCAGAATAATCCAATCGTGAATTTTGTTTCCTGTGCTATGATTACAGCCATTGCCAGTGAACTCATGCTTAGTATAAGTTACATGAACCTTAATTCCAACACATGGAAAATAATTATTGCCTTATTTATTTGTATCCTTTTTTATTTCAAAGGGAATTTAACATATGATCATTGCCTATTTTCACCTTCCTTTTGTACACCTTCCCGTTACAATTCTTACACGTGGGTCTGAACTGAGAAACAAACCTTTAACCAATTTAGAAAAGAGTAAACCTACAATATAATTTAAAATATTTAGTTATAACCTATTTTTTTTCATAAATTTCTTGTGGTATAGATATTTGGACCAGTGCAGCAAATCATGAAGTTCAAATCTGTAGAGGAAGTGATCAAGAGAGCTAACAATACTCCCTATGGCTTAGCAGCAGGAGTCTTTACCAAAGACCTTGACAGAGCCATAACAATCTCCTCTGCTCTGCAGGCGGGAACAGTGTGGTAAGTGAAACTGAAGTTATATAGGCCTTTCAGTGTTACACATGTTAAAAGTTTCACTTCACTTGAACTTTTCAGCTTGAATTTTTCATTTGAAGTTACATGCCCAGCTAGTAACGTAGAAGCTGTATTAAAAAAAAATCATAAAGATGACAAAAAAAATCCTAATTAAATAACTTTTTCTGGAAGACCTTTCTTTAAATCTATCAAGCCTTAGAAACTCCTTAGCCAAAATACTTTGTGGATATTTGATTTAGGCAATATAGGTATTGATAGGCAAGTCTAGGCATTTAGCATTATGCTATGTACATAGAAGATAAAAGAAAAGTAACTTTAGAAAAGTTTAATAAGATAATGTTTACTGAGAGCCTTATGGATACAACCATTTAATTTTTGTATCAGATTCTTACTTTTCTAGAATTATTAGAGATGGCTGAAAGGTGCAATTTAGAAATTTGAACAGCATGTCCACCTCATTTGGACCTAGTTTATGTCTTTTTCATATTTACTTTAGATTTAAACTCTAAGTAAGGCTGTGCCTCTCAAAGTATTGTATCACTTCCCAGTCACCTGTTCCTGGACTGTTTCCTCAACTGTTTTTATCCCATCAAACTTCCTGTTCTTTCCTCAGTCCTGGCAAAAGCACAAGATTATTTTCCTTCTCACACCTATTCAGGAAAAAAAAGAAAAGGAAGGGCAAAATAGTTTCTGCTGGTATTGAGGGGGTGGAGGAGAGAGGGAGGGGGTGAGGTGGGTGGTAAGGGAGAGGGGTGAGGGGACGGGGGAGAAATGACTCAAACATTGTATGCACATATGAATAAAAAAAAAAAGAAAACAGCATTAGATGATGAAAAATGTCCTTATGGACACAACTAAGCAATTCCTCTCCCTCTTTGTGCTCTTGCATCTTTTCCTCCTAGCCAAGTAAGAGTCATCTTCCTTGACTATTTACTCCATGTGGCAATGTATCTCTACCTTCATCACTTTATTTTACCTTACAAAGATTATCTGTTATCTCAAATTTATTGGTGAAAAGCTTAGTGGGCTTAAGTAACTTATTTAGATACCAGAAGAAATAGCAGAACTGATAGTCAGACCTATTGCGTCCGACTCTAAAACAATGTCTCTCAACCATGACAGTATATTAGTGCAAGTTTGGTATCTGTGATTCCAAATTCCAAAATCTAAAATGCTCTGACATTCTGCTTAAAAAAAATATGGTTTTAGATCATTTTGAATTTCAGGATTCGTGATACTCAACCAGTAATAGGAGAATGACTGAATTTCAAAGTTGCTGGTATTTTACTCATAATTTTAAAGTAGAGATCTTATTTTTAATTGAAAGAGCAGTTTCCAAAGCTTACAAAAGCCTACATCTAAAGGTATAAATTTATTCAAGGAACTATCCCTCCAGTATGGGAGGCATGGGTAAGGACTCTGAGGCCTCGTGAGAATGTGGAACTGTGAGAATTGGAATAGCAAATATTTTTCCTGAGGCAATATCTGAACATTACCTCAAAATCAAAGTAATGACCAAAGTCTTCGATGCACAGTACAGATTATCTGGGGGTCACCTGGCTGTTCAACTAGTGTAATAGCATGTAGGGAAGAAAAATATAAAAATACAGCGTTCTTTTTTCCTTTAATTTTTTTTTGTGTGTAACAAGAATCATTAGCTAATTAGATTTTGCTTTGAACTTTGGTCACTAGGAAACTTAGAGCTAAACAAATTGTTCATGATATAAGCAACTGCATTCTAAGCCCCTCTGTTGTCTGGATCTTTTATTGAAATCTTATCTGTAACTTTCTTTACATTTTTGTAGTTATATTTCTTCATATAAGCATCTTTAAACACTCTATGACAGCTGATAAGCGTTGGTAAATAGGACCAGTAATTTTTTTGGTGGTACTGAGGTTTGAACTCAGAGCTCCATGTTTGTAGGTACTCTCTGCCACTTTATCCATAGGACCAGCCTAAAGTCCAATTCTTCCCAAGGAAAAACTGATGAATATTACGATGCATACTATAATTGCAAAAAATTATTGCAAAAAATTATTCTGATTACAGCCTGATAAGTGAATAAACATCAAGAAAATTGCAAGTCCTATTGAATATACCTAAATAGCAAATTTTAATCTCTAGCAAACATATATTTCCTGCTATGGCATACTGGCATCCTATCTTTTATAATTCAGTACTACTTCTTGAAGACATGATATACCACCCAAAGGACTACCCATGTACATAGTTGTACCATTCTGTGGTATACACAAACACACACACACACACACAAATCTGAATACATTTTGTATTCTGCTTTATAGTGCTATTCTTTATCTCAATGACAATATTATATGGAACTGAATGTAGTTCTTTAAAACATCTCTGAATTTCTAAAATTCTCTATTGAGTAATTGTTTGATAGGTTATGTATGATCTATGATGTACTTCCTTATTTTCAGGGTAAATTGCTACCTGATGTCATCTGCCCAGAACCCCTTTGGTGGATTCAAGATGTCTGGAAATGGACGAGAACTGTAAGAGTAAACTTTTATTAAGATAAATGCTTATTTTGATGGAAATGGTTGTTATTCATAGGGAATTAATCTGTATTCACCACCTTAAATAAAATAGGGGTTCTTCCATAGAAATTCATGCCACCACATAGTGTATTAAATGTTGGATGTACTTCATAAGAACAGAAAGGCAATAGCAGAAGAGAAATATACTTTGTTAAGCTCCTACTACTTATAAGGAACCTTATTTAACATTATGCATTGGTATTTGAATTGTTGCATACTTTTAGGATTCCTTATTCTATATGTGAATGTAATTCATCTGGAAGTCATTTTCAGAAAGGAGGCAGAATCTCTAAATTGGTGATTGTAAGAAACATGTAAAACAATTAAATTATTTAAATACATCTCTTAAATAACTAAATTATCTGTCTCATCCCAAAATACTTAGTCTTTAAAATGAATGATTCTCATTTATATTATTGAATACACCAAAATTTTAACTTGCCTGAATGAGTTACTTTTGGTATTAAAATGTTAACCCAGAGGGAAATTTGAAGAAAACACATTTTATACTTGTGAGTAAATTGTGAATATGTATAGAAAATGCATGGCCTGGTTCCAGTTGTGAGCTTATGGGCTTTGATTTTCTCATATTAAAATGGAGATATTCCTGCCCTTCCTAAAATGGTGTGAGAGTTAAATAACATGGAGTGTTCAATCTCTAGCTTTATAACCATCAGCAAGTGAGGACTCAAAACTTTTTCCCCTTTCCTCATCTATTGTCTTTATAATGTTGGTCCATTACTAAAGAAATCCTTGACAGAGCTAATTACTTTGTATAAAACACTATTACAATGGTTAGATTACTCTAAAGGGCAGTTAGCTCATTGCAGGTCCAGCTACATCACATGTACCCCTGGGAATGTTGATAAATGGATTTCAGACAGTTGAGTCTAAATCCTTTCATTACTTTGAAGAACACTCCCATTGAAGCTTTTCAAAGGTATTTTCAAAAACTTACTTGCCCAGGAAAATAGTCAATGTAAGGGGATTAGGATTCTCAGGAGAAAAGATGTCTTTGACATACCTGTCTACATCACAAGAAAGGAGGGGTAGAAAAGAATCAATATCTTATTTTTCTGTACACCTCCATGTGCACAGGTGAAATGATTTTAAGTATATTCTTATGTACATGCAATTTGATCTTGTCATCAAAATAATACAGAGGATATCTGAGCCCAATCCATTGATTTATCCCTTCAACAAAGAGTAAACCATATTTTCCAAAAGTGATCAGAGTTATGATGCTTATAATAAGAAACTAGGGTACAAACAGATTGTCTTGTGTTAAGTTCTGGTTATTTAGGTGAACTCAAAAGTTGCATAAGCAAGTGGTAGATCATAGGCAAGGATGTTTAAAGAGGAACACCAATATCAGCAAAAAAGAATGTAGGCCAATCTTTTCCCACTATCCTCCTTAAAAATGGAAAACAAACATACAATCCAAAAATAAAGAAAACTCTAACAGTAGAGTTCAGGGTTTTGTTTGGTTTTATTGAGAATCAAATGAGATTGATAAAATTACAGCTCTGAAAGTTTAGGAACCTGTAGAAGGAAAGTGGAAGCATGATAACTTTCCATCCACTTATGATTTGTGCCAAAAGAGATGGCAAATGTACAGCCAACATCAGTTTATGAATTTACATGAGTGGTTATAAATTGCCACTTCTCTTGAATTATATTTACCTTATTTATTTGAATCTAATCCAGGATTGATAAATTTTGTTAAGTGAATTTTCTTTTGAGAAGTTAGAAGTTTAATGGTCAGGTAGAATAATGTTAAAAATGGACATCTTGGAAATCAACTGAGTGTACATCATTATTTTAAATGAAAGACATTTTTCAGAATGGTTTTCCACAAAAGATTTATGTTCAACCATGTAACTTATGATCGGCTAGCTACTGTATGAAATTCTCTGTGCACAGAAAATATTTTCCATTGTTCTTAGACAGATAAACAAGAAAAAACATGTACCAAATCAAATACTGCAGTATACGTGCACTGATGTGAGCAATGGTGTTTATAGTTACCTTTTTCTGTCTCTAGGGGAGAAGAGGGTGTCCTTGAATACACAGAGATCAAGACAGTCACAATGAAGATCTCTCAGAAGAACTCCTAAAAATGCCCTGCAAAATAGAGAGAAGATTCTTCTTCAAGAACTAAGCATCTTCTACAATCATTAATATAGTGCTATTCAAATATAAAATTTTTCTTTTCTTAAGTTTTTAAACATAAACTAATCATTACTGTTAATACCACATCTAGAAAACATGTATTTGACTGTAAAAGAATCATTTTCCTCTTGATCTGAGTCCAATTCTGGTTCTAAATAAAAGGATAATTTGGAAACAAGATCTGTGCAGCTCTATCATAGTTGTATGCTTTTCTATATTACTCCTCATCCAGACTAATCATTTTATAGAAGTTCATTAATCATTTAGCCTTTTACATAAAAGTAAGTATTCCTTAAAGTACTTAATGCACGTTAGCTTCAAAGTAAGTAGCTATTTCCCCAGCAGTTATAATGTACTTGAAGTATTTTGAAATGTTTCCTAGAATGTCATGTCTGCTTGTCAAATGAAATACTTATTTGTAATCTATAGATAAAGTTTAATGCAAGCAACATTGCATGATTTTTGTAGATTGAATTCTTTTAGTTGATAGTTTCGTTAAGGTGATTTACTATCTATCCCAATCTCTCAAAAACACTGTTAAATAAAAATAGAGATAAACTTAAAAATAATATTACCTACACGTATTTCCAAATGGATCAAGACAAATTCTGAAATAAATAGCATGCATTTCTGATAGATAAGAGCAGTTCCCCCAAGCATTTATTGAGCTCCTATGACGTTCTAAGCTGAGGTGTTACACAAAACTGATGAATGGTGAGTGGTCTGTCATTTCAAATACTTTAATTTACCGGAGAAGAGAGATACAATCCCTGCCACCCAAAAGGCAAGTGGGCAAAAAATAAAAGTGAGCCTTCTAAATACCATAATGTGCCCAGGGAAAGTAAAGAATTGTGACCCGGAAAATTGGAAATGGTTTCATGAAGGAGATTTGACTGAGCATGAGCCTTAATTGAAAGGATTTGCAGTGAATAAAGGAAAAAGGACAACATAGTTTCTCAGGATATATTTCACTGAACAAATTCTGGAGACATTGTATATAATACATTCTCCTATTAGAGTTTCAAACTGCACATTATTAGCATCTTCTAGGATCTGAGGAGACCTGCAACCTATTTAGTTTTGTTTTCATATAATTTTTTCTACCAAATTTAATTAGCAGAAAGTTTGCCTTCCCTCTTACTTCATTTAACACCAATGAATAGTAAGAAACCCATGTATGAAGATGCTGTTCTATACAATGAGGCAGCCCTTAGTGTTCTAGGGAGAGCCATGAAGATCACAAGGGAGCAGCTGATGTAATGTCCTGTGTGCAAAACTAACTGAACAATGCTTTCATTGTGCCCTCAAAACAAAGACTATCTCACTCTTATGCCTTGTTCCCATGTAGGACCCAAGTAAAATTGAGAGAATATTCTATATTACTGTATACATTTTGTAATGTTCTTATTTAACAACTTAAAGTTTAAGCTTAGTTATCTTTAGGATAACTTTATTTAAAGGTAAGATTTTATTTAAAAAATTGAGTTTATCCTTTTACAGTAACAGGTCCCATATTGACACTGGTATCATGACACTAATATAGTCTTGTGTAGCAGTGTAAGAATGAATTAAACCCATTAGCTTCTCAAACTTGAATGAATTTCAACTCCAATTTTGAGTTTCCCAAACATGTGTGAACCTAAAAAAATTTCAATTTGTGCTACCTTGTAAGATTTGGGCATAAGAAGCATTTTGAAAACTGGAAGAACTAAAGTCATAGGTAGAACTGAGAAGTCTAGATGTTGAGAAGAAAAAGTATCCAAATATGGAGAAGGGTTCAGATTTCCTAATACCAAGCAGTGCCATCATTTAAAAAACATATATATAAAACCATGTGTAAATACATTAATAGGTAGACAGGTTAATATTGCAATGGCATCTCAAAAAGAACTATCAAGTACAAGTAAGAGGGCTCAACACAGAACAAGACATAACCCAGAAGCAAGTGTAAGTATTTGAAAATTAAATCTTCATTGTATACATAAAACATTATAAGATTAAACAGAAAATGTCTGTTTTATATTGGGTCCTCCTGATCTTCTGGATATTATTATACTTCATTATTTGTATTAAATATATAATTTCCAAGAATTCTTAGGAATTTAAAGTTATAGGTTTTCTTAGTATATTAAGTATAAAGAATTTTTATGAATTACTCTGTTTTACAGTCATAAACACAATCTTACTATCCTCAATGTCCACACGGTAGAAATTATTTTAATTTCAATGAACACCAAACTAAGCAACAGAAGTTAGAATTGACTCTTCAGGCCAGATCAGTGCTAGGTCTCAGATATAGATTCAAATGGCTAGTTTAACGGGCTTTTCTCTTTTTCCTATGCTTTTTTCCTTTCTTTCATTCCTGGTTGTTGTTATATTATTCTTTGATATTTTTTCAGTAACCAAAGAAAAATAGGGACAAAATATTTTCTTAATTCCTTGTTATCACCTCAAAACAACTCATGTTAGGGAATTATCGTCATTTCTTAACATGATTCAAGAAAAAATGACAAACTCAAAAGACCCTATCTCTGAGCAATGCAGGTAATGTTTTGTGTCACCAGAAACCTTGAAAGTACAATTGTACATGAGTGCCATCAACAAAACACTTACTTTCTGGTTACTTTATCAAGGTATATTAAATTAACTAGGGTATATTTTCTTTTAAACCCAAATTCTCCATTTGACTTTCATGTGCTAGCTCACCCTGGGATTTTTTTCTCTGGAGCTTTTCAATTTTGAGGATGAAATAATACGTAGGTAGGAGAATTAAGGATAATTGCCAAATTCCCACGAAATTCAAATTCAGTGACTGCTGAGAGGAAGTGGAAGATTTTTGCTCTAGCACATCAAGACTGTGGAGCTTTCTGCAAAATAATATCCTGAGTCAACACACAAATGAGAGACAAACAGTTCACTTCTCACTTCTCACTTAAATATTCATTCTGTGGAAGATTACAGATGTTCTCTCCGTACAGACAAAACCACAAATTTTTCTGTGGGTATTTAACATAGCTCAAGGTCATGTCTCTGAACTTGCCCTAATATTCAGTGTGGCAGGTTTATCCCAGATTAAAACAGTCTCACCAATGAACATGTAGGATAATTCCCAGATCACTACAAAATCAGCATGATCACTTCATGAAACACACTAAATGAACACTGATGCTTTTAGAACATTTACTTCAACCCAATGCACTAGCAACAATTTTCCTTCTATATTTAATGCACATTTTATAGAAGGTTTATGTGGTACTGCTTTGAAATTATTTCACTCGGTTTAGGATTTGTGTTACACTGCTTTTTTCAAGACACTCACTGAAAGATTCATTAACCCTGGACATACATATGAATTTAAAACACAAAATTGATTTAAGCTGGAAACAGACTTTGTAAATACCTATTTTAAAATAATTCAAAACTTTTAAAGAAGATGCAATAGCAATGAAAAGAATGCGTATATAAACTTTACTTACCAATTTTTAATATTTTCATACTTGGGCTTCCCTCTCATTCCCTATATAGACACATTTCCCTCCTTAAGACATACTTTCAAGATGTCACATCCTTTTAGTCCATGATATTTCAATAAAATTTTCTACAAATAAGGTCATTCTTTCATAAAACACAGTGGAGAACTCCAATCCAGGAAATTTCAAATTAATAAAATATTAACACTTATACACAATCTATTAAAAATTTCCTCTAACTGTCCCACTTATTGTCCTTTATGGCACTTTATCCCATGAACCAAAATTAATGGTTCTTTTGTCTTACTATGCCTTAATAATGTGGATATAACTCGTAAGTCTACCAAATAATCAGTCAGGTTGGTTATACTGCTTTGTCCTGGAATGGAGATAGAAAAAAAACCATGCAGAATTCAAAGTAACTAGTAAACAATAATCAGCCAAAAGGAATTGATGATTTTAATGAAAAACACTTCATTTCAATATTTGACTATTAGTTACCATCCTTCCTGGTAAACCAGGCAAGAATAGGTGTGTAGGCTGAAAAATATGAGGTTGGGCTAAAGAAGTGGCTGCAGCAAGTGAAAGAGTCCAACTCCAGTTCCACCAAAAAAATGTGCCTTCTAACTTGCACAATTGAACAGGGAACAAAAGTTATTCTCACTTGAGGATACTAGTGGTTGTTCTTTGTGTGTAGTACAGCATTGCCCTTTCTCATTTCTTTTTCATGATTACTTATTTGAATACTTCCCTTAATAATAGGTCGTGTACTGTCTGATAACATCTGGGGAGTCACCTTAAAATTAATTGGATACAAATCCTTTAGCCATATAAAATTGTACATGTCTTTCAAAAAAACTTGACCTTTGGAGTCAAAATAGGCTAAATTCCAATTCCTACAATCACTAGTCATATGACATTAGGTTAATTATTAAAGCTTTCTCACCTAAGTTGTCATTTATCAGATCATGGTTACTTTGACTATTCTGGAAACAATAAATATTTTACTTAATTATGTGGATCTTTGGATCCCAGAAATCCAGTTTCAAATCTTGTCTGTGAATTCACTCATCTTGGGATTTTGGATCAATTTCTCCACCTTCCTAAGTTCCAATTTACATCTGCAAAAAGGAATTTATAATGATAACTACTGAATTGGATTATTCTATTACATGGAACAAAGTTTTAAAGTGGTAAACAAGGTTCCTAGGACATGACAAGTGCCATTGGCAGAGTCTGAGTGATATCCTATATTTCCTAACTCTTCATCCTGTGGTATATCACATTTGGTGCTGCAAGATACTGACTGATAATTAATTAAATATGCAACACCCATTGCTGCATTTTTATATTATATATTTTTCATTTTATCTAAAATAGGGAAAAGTTGTGCAATGTCAACTTTTTAAAAAAATGGTATCGGGATTTGAACTCAAGATTTCCTCTTGTTAGGCAAATGCTCTACCACAAGACAT